GAGCAGATAAAAGACATCTGTTAACTTTCTAAGTCCATTTGGACTGCATAAAATTGTAATATAAATCTCCATCCATGCCTTATGGAAGGATGGCATGTAATAATAAGTCATGAGGACTCAGTAGCCATCAAGACTTATCATATCTCATTCAATTCAGAGCTGTTCCCATAGTAGAGGGATAAGCATGTATGTTACCTGTCTTGTAGTTTTTCTTGGTTTCTTCCTTATGTCTGCAGCCAAGATTTTCAAGAGGCCTCCCCCAGTCAAATTTGATCTTTATTAATTTTGAAGAAATGTATAGCCTTTCGTTTCTCATGGAAATAAAGGTATAGCTTCTTCCCCAATGCAACACATTTTCTGACTTTAATTCTAAAGTTAAGACATCCTTAAAATATATATAGGCTGGTTTAATTTAGCAGGCCACATGCATGTAGTACCTTCAGAGTCCAGAAGAGGGCATCAGACTGTCTGGAACTGGAGTTAGAGCTGGTTGTGAGCTACCATGTGGATGCTAAGAATCAAACCTGGGTCCTCTGGAAGAACATCAAGGGCTTTTTGTTTGTTTGTTTGTTTTTTGTTTTTTTTTTGACTTTTTTCAAGACAGGGTTTCTTGGTTTATTCCTTGATGTCCTGGAACTCACTTTGTAGACCAGGCTGGCTTTGAACTCAGAAATCCACCTGTCTCTGCCTCCGGAGTGCTGGGATTAAAGGCGTGCACCACCACCGCCTGACCAAGTCCTTTTTCATCCAGTGCTTTTCACTGCAGAGCCATTCTCTAGCTTAACAACTGTTCTTGGTAGTATGATTAACAACTTCCTGTCTAACATTCTACATTCCTTCCTTCCTTCCTTCCTTCCTTCCTTCCTTCCTTCCTTCCTTCCTTCCTTCTATCTATTGAATGCCAAAGAAGTAACTGCTGTTGATACATAATGGAAAGAAGCAGACATGTCACATAATCTCAGTGAGGTCCTCTTCACATAGGAAGAGAGTCTCTGCACAAGACTGGTAAGATCTGTATTATTATCATCATTGTAATCATTTATTCATTCAATGAACGAATGGTCAGATTATGGGCAGGTTCTTTGGGTAGGTCAAAGGTCATAAAATGGAGGCAGAGACTTCCAAACGGGTGTCGGACTCCAGATACAAACACTGCTTTGTCAACAAACCTTTCAGGTGGATTCTATATGTTTCTTAGGCACCATGTGGAATTTTAACCCATGTTTTTAAAAAAGGTATTTTTTTCTCTCTCTCAAGAAACAGAAATTGTCAACCTATTATTTAGCACTTAAATATATAAAATTTTATAGATGTCATGGCAATACCGTATAAGAAGGGAGATCATGGGCTCCGAGACATTGTATAAATGCCTAGTTTGTACTTCAACTTTATTAAGAAGGCTGTAATGGGTAATGATGACTGAGCTTTGACTTTGAAGGAAAGGGGAGAATTTTTTTGTTTTTTTTTGTTTTTGTTCAGACAGGGATTCTCTGTGTAACAGTCCTGACTATCCTGGAACTTACTTTGTTGACCAGGCTGGCCTCAAACTCACAGAGATCAGCCTGCCTCTGCCTCCTGAGTGGGGGGAATGAAAGGCATGAGCCACCACACCCAGCTTTAAAGGGAGAAATCTTAAATCCATGACTTTTTGTTTGAGTTATGGAAGCCCAACCTTTGTATTCTCTTTTCATGTAAGATGGAAGAAAATAATAATTAATGATAGTTATGTATATTTACACACACACAGACATATCAAGGGATGGTATATTGTGTTTAAGTGTGTACATGCCACTCTATGTATGATGTCAGAAGACAACTTCGGGTTTCAGTCTTTGCCCTTCACCTTGAGATAGGGTCTCTGTCTCTTTTTTTTTAATTTAATTTTTTTTATTTTATAATTTAATTTAATTTTACATATCAGCCACAGATTCCCCTGTCCTCCTCCCTCCGGCTCCTCCCCTCCACTTTTCCCCCACTCCCCCCCCCCCATTCCCATCTCCTCCAGGGCAAAGACTCCCCTGGGGATTGAGTTCAACCTGGTAGATTCAGTCCAGGCAGGTCCAGTCCCCTCCTCCCAGGCTGAGCCAAGCGTCCCTGCATAAGCCCCAGGTTCCAAACAGCCAGCACATGCACTGAGTACAGGACCCGGTCCCACTGTCTGGGTGCCTCCCAAACAGCTCAAGCTAATCAACGAGTCAAGGTCTCTCTTATTGTATACATCATGTGTACAGCTGTGGACATCAGCTGCCCCTGGAGCTTCGAGAGTCTCCTGTCTGCCTGGAGAGTCTCCTGTCACTGGAACGCTGGGATTACAGATGCCTGTGTATGTGTGTCCAGTGTATGTGTGGGACCTAACTCGGGTCATCAAACTTACACAACAAATGCTTTGAACGCTGAACCATTTCCCCAGCTGCAGCATTAAACGCCAAGCACATTCCGAATTCCCACTTTCCCACTGATGGACTTGAAGTCCTCTGCTGGTCTCTGTCTCTTCTTCTTACCCTGCTGAGAACAGTGGTCCTCTCTCTCCTACATGGTTTGTGGAGGGCATACAGTGGCTTGAACTGTTTAATTGACAGCGGAATGAAGGTTTTCTTCAGGAAACCTTCCCCCAATTATTGTCAAGCTATTTGGATGGAGGTGTTTGGCTGACGGGTATGTCCTCTCTTGAATTCCTCGGAATTAAAGGAGAGCAGTAGAGTAATTTTTTCTCTCTTAATCTTAAGCTTTAGGAAGGAGGCATCAGAAAGCCTATTATTTAAAATTCATTACCACCAAAAGCCTCATTTCCATGTGGTTGAGAATATGAGACAGGAGGATCATCCAGGGGCAGCAGTCCATATGACAAGAAATGAGTTCTAAGCATCATAGTATCAGGTGGTGGTGCCCTTTACAGTCAATAGTGCGTATCTTTTCCAAGGTAGTCAATATGATAAGCTTTCAAGTGTACACACACACACACACACACACACACACACACACACACACACTGCAGTACCATGGCTATCACTTGCTCTCTCTTCACACACATGCTCCACTTTTCTTTTCTTTTCTTTTCTTTTCTTTTCTTTTCTTTTCTTTTCTTTTCTTTTCTTTTCTTTTCTTTTCTTTTCTTTTCTTTTCTTTTCTTTTCGCAGACAGTTTCACAGGATCCAAACCTTCTCTCCCCAAGAACATCTGCAAGGCAGGAAAAATCAGCACAATGAAGGGAATAAGGGGCAGGAGGTTCACTCAGAGCACGGCTCATAATGCTTAAGGCCTTCCCTGGAGCAAGGGGATTTAGACACAGATCATTGGTTCAATTTTGTGTTCTCCTCCCACTCCTCCACCCCTTCCTAATTATATGACTTTAGGCGAGTCCTTTAAACAGCTCTTAGTTCTTTCCCTGTCACACGGAATCTTGTCACATGACATCTCAGGTCAGTACTGTGATCACAGCAGAAGCAGCAGGGGAAGGCAGTTCTTTGAAGTCCTGAGCAGGTGTTAGGGAGGAGTCTCACTGCTCACGTCATCCCGCCCCTCCCAGTTGCATCTTCAGGTTGGCTGCCTGGTTCAGGTCTCAGCTGCACAGTCACTTTGAGAAGTGCCCTTCTCATCACTCTCTCTTTTTTTACCCCAGTGTATTTCAGTTAAGACACCTCACATGTGATCTGGTTTTCTTGCTTACCCGTGTATTGGTTTTCTCCCTGTTGAGTAAAGTCTCCACCGTGGAGGCCAGAGGTTGAGTGTCTTTGTCAATTGCTGTCTACCATATGATTTGAGATCAAGTCTCTCATTGAACCTGGACCTGAACCCAGAGCTGGCCTGTTGGGCTAGACTGGCTGGCCAGCAAGTTCCCGGGGATGCTTAGGTTCTGCCTTCAGCTCTGGATTTACCGGTGGAGAGCTGTGTGGTTTGGTGGGTTCCAGGTGATCAACCTATGTTTACATAGCAAGCATTTTCCAAATTTAGTCTATCTCTCTGTCCCAAAAGCTTTTGGAGGGCAGAGCTCAGTCTTGTATTCTCAGGGACAATTCATGAACATTACAGTCCTGTCCTGTGTCCCTCTTTCCTCTGGTCCTCACATCCCAACCCTGGCTGGCATGGAACCAGTATGTAGACCAGACTGGCTTTGAATGCACAGAAATGGGGCTTGTCTTTGCCTCCCAAGTGCTGGAACTAAAGGCGTGGGCCACTATGCCTGTCCGGCAGTACATGATTGATGAGTCCTGGGAGCAAAGGCTTCCGTCAAGGACAATTTAGACTTCAAGGTAGAGAGGAAACCCATTGCCTTGTGGACGTTAAGCAAACACCATATCACTGAGCCACAGCACCAGCCTTTCAAGGCCAGCTTCTCAGTTAGCCAGCTAGGTGACAGTGGACAAGTTCTAAGTACTTTAGAGTATTTAATACAAGCGAATAACTCGAAAGGTGTTCTCTACTCTTCAACGAGGTTAAGTGTTAATACACTAAGAAGGTACGTGACCCTATGCTATGCGCTCCTGCCTCAGGCTTGCCAGTAAAACGACCCATTCTTTTTATCACCCCAGGGCGCAGCATCATCCGGTTCGCCTCGCTGCGGGGGCTAAGGGGAAGTGGAAGTCGGTCCCTAGTTCCGACAGGGCTCTCAGCCACCAACAGGTGCCACTGCTCCGGGCTCTCCCAGGCGGGGACAAACGACCCTTTTCTTGGGATGGGGAAGTCACGACTTAGAGAGACCCCACGCCATGTCTGTGTGGATAAGGGACGCTCCCTGGAGCCCCGGCCACAGCGCGGGGCGCTCTGACTCCAGCCTCTGGCTTCCTTGCAATCGCGGAAGGAAGGTGGGGGGCTGTGGGCAGCGGCGGCGGCGGCGGCGCGGCGAGGGGGCGGGGCCGGAGCGGAGCGAGGGGATGGGCGTGCCGGTGGGCGTGTCGGTGGGCGTGGCGATGGGCACGGTCAGCGCGCCCCGGAGCCCCAGGCTCGCCAGTCCTGACGTCGCGCTGGCCTGGCCTGTCTCAGTGCGAGCTCCATCTAGGTGAGGACACCGGGACTCTGGGCGGGGAGGACCGGACGGGGGTGCACGCTGGAGGAGGTGGCCCCCGCCTGCTGGAGCCTGACCTCAGTGGGATTGGGAAGGATCTTCTGCCTTTCGCGTGGAGGTGAGAGCGGGCTCTCGGTCCTCTTTGGCCGGGAAGAGGGGACAGGTGCGCGCTCCCCTGATGGCCGCGTCTTCCCCGTGGCTGGCTGCAGCCTGTCTCCCGGCTCCACATCTGAGCCCTTTTTTTTTGGACTTGGTTTCTGAGGCTCAACCACTCGCGGTTGAGTTCCGTCCCCAGTGGAGCCGCAGGCTGCCTTTCTCCTCTCTGCTTGTCCCGCGGGAAAGTGAGAATCCACGAGATGGTACACAGTTGCCTGTGCCTGACGCCTCACCCCATCGGGGGCATGTATTTACTTTTCCCTCTGGAGAGTGGTGTTTGGATGCGGATAAATAGGGGCTTGGAGACTCTGGGGAAAACTATGTGGAACTTGTCCCAGGACGGTGCCATCTTCTCTGGATCTTAAATTTCTTAACTTTCTCCTGTCATTGGTGAATTACAGATATGTTTCTGTGTATCAGGTCCCATCTCGGGCCAATCTTTGGGAACTGGACTATTTGATTAGAGGAGTTGATCTCAGTGTTAAATTGGAACAACAGGGCGGCTGGTGGTTAAGTTGTATGCTTTAAGTGTATGCCTTGCATTTTTTCCAGTGAGTCTCTGTTTTCCTCTTAGGAAACTCTGACAATGTATTCCCTTTCTAGATAATTCTCTTGTACAGTGCTAGGGAGTGGTAGGAGGAAGCATCAACGTATCCGCAAGTCTCCTAAGTCAATTTTGGTGTTTGATAGATTAATGGCACGGGTAGCTCTTTGGTGTGCAAGACTCAAATATGGTTTCTATGGGGGAGTGGGGAGAAGGGTGGCTAGACTTACACATTAAGTACTTGAACACATTCTTTTTGCTCAGTTATAGTTTCATTGTTTAAGAAAGGCTTATCGTTTCGCCGTGCTCTTATTAATCTGATCACTATTCCTGCCCTTGACAACTCATGCTTTCTGTAGTGTGTTTATGTTAATGACCCTCATTCTTCCCACAAGGGTGTGTGCATTCTGGTTTGTGGAACTGTGTGGGACAAGTATTGTCAACACATGCAAATCAATGCTACGCTGTAGTTGGCAATACCTTTGCCCTACACATGGATCTTTGGCCTAGAATTTTCCTCTCTTCCCAAACAGGAAAGAATCCACAGTATGAATGTGTGTTTTAGCGTTGCCGAACTGTTTCTTTACCTTATTCTGTATTAAGGTGCTTTTGTTTCCAAAGCAGGGCAGGGGCTATCTATGTTTTTATCAAACCTGTAACGATCAGGAGATGGTAAAACCTTAAACAACAATGGAGAGGCTGTGGACAATTCCTGGTCTATTTGTTTTCTTGAAGAATGGTTGGCCTCCTTGCCTCCCTCCAGGCACCCCAGGGTGCTGGGAACTTGGTCGTTGGGTCTCTAACCACACCTCTGCCTACAGGTTGCCCAGGCTGCCCTGGTTGGTGCCTCTCTTCCTTGCCCTGCCCCTGTTCTAGATTTTGGCATCTACTTCACCCCTCCCTGGGTCTTCACGCCCATCCGAGGGAGAGCATTTGTTTGTTGTCTACAGCATCAGTAAGGGCATCGATACTCCGCCTGGTGCTGGCTCCCCTGTGGATGCTCGGGAAGTGTCTCCTGATGATACTGCCCCTGTTCAGAGCCCTTACAATGCTCCCATCTTGTCCAGGGAATAGTAGGTGAAGCAGAGTGTCTTTCAAGTTGAATACCTATTAATAGTTTTGGAAGGCAGCTGTTTTGGTTCAATTAGGCTCCTAAATGGGGCACCCAAGTGTGTAAGAAAGGCATGAAATTGACTTGTGATCATTGGCAGTGGAGAGATTTTCCTGCTCCATGTGATTATGCTATTAGAAGAGATTTGTTGGAAAAAACAACCACCAAAAGCAACCTAGAGGAGAGGGTGTAGAGGTTATTTATACCTCCGCCTAGGCCTGCCTTTTTTTTAAATCTCTGCCTAGGTCAGCCAGCCCTTTCTAGGGTTGGATTATAGCTATTAATTTTCTCTGTATGTTCTACTGCTCAGAGCTCAGATGACTAAAGCTCTACCAAGAAACAGAGGTTGAAATTACATTTTTTTTTTAGACAAAAAAAGGGGATAAATAAAAAAATAAGAAACCCAAAACAAATAGCTTGCTATTGGGGAAACAAACAAATGTAAATATAAGGAGCAAACAAATGTAAATGTAAACATGTAGGCACAGAATTTGGGCTCAGAAATGGCTAGATCAATATAAGCCACAATATTAATGGTAGGTCAATATTCACAGCTAAGCCAAGCACAAATTTTGTGTTCTTTGGAATTAATAATTGTTTGGCGTGTGTGTGTGTGTGTGTGTGTGTGTGTGTGTGTGTGTGTGTGTGTGTACTTCTCATTAATTCAATCTACAACCCTTGACCGGTTTTCCAAGTCTTCCCTTTTGAAAGGAACCCGATCTTCTGTTAATTTTGTTTTTCCCAGGAATCTGAACCTGAACCTCCTGGCTTACCACACTCTGGAGAGGTGGGCTTTTCTATTTATCGGGTGCAGCTGGTACTCAGAGGCTGTCCGGTCACTAAGCATCCTGGGAATCCCCACCGCCTCTTTCCTGGGTTCCATCTCCTAGTTATCCACGTAACTTCCTTTATTTTGGTGGACTCCTCAGAGCTTTCTGGAAAAGGATTTATGGAATGTCAGTCTTTCTGAGATTAAGAATAACTGAAGATATCTATTTTCCTCTTAAAACTTTTAGACTGACCGAATGTAGAATTCTGGGATAGAAATTTCAATAGTATTATTCCAGTATCTTCTAAATTAGGAGGAACTTCTGGCTCCTTAATCTTCACTTGCAACCTTGAGTAGAGGCCACAGCCCTGCTGTGCTTTTCCATGGGGTTGTGAAATATTCTCTTGTTCTCCACAATATCTAAGTTTCCTGGTGCTGTATCCTGGTTTGCCTCTGTTTTCACCCAGTGTGCTGGGCTTTTGAATCTGGGAAGTCACATCTTTTAGTTTGGGAAATTTTCTTGAATTATTTCATTGGTGATTTTCTCCTGTTTTCTGTCTTTTTTTTTTTTTTTTTTTTTTTTAAGGAATTCGTTATTTAGATGTTAGGTATTTTGGATCAATCCTCTTACTTTGTACCTTACATAATTTCTGTCTTGTTATTTCCGAAATCTTTTAGGAAGGTTTTTCTCAATATTAGTATCTAAGCTTAACATTGGAGTTTTCAGTGTCTTTAACATTATTATTATTGTTATTATTGAGACAGAGTCTTGCTATGTAGTTCATGCCAGCCTAGAATTCACTTGCTGTGGAGTTCATGCCAGCCTAGAATTCACTTGCTGTGGAGTTCATGCCAGCCTAGAATTCACTTGCT